ATCCAGCTGACTCTTACCTGGCACCAATTTCCCTTGACCATTAGTAAATCAGATTCCTGTGTATGGAATAAACTTATGGTACTTTTGAAGTCTATCCTGGTTCCTGACTTTTTGCACCTGACAGGATTATGGACAACGTTTTTCCCTCCTATGTGCACTGCCCACTGATTAGATGGGCGGCCACACAGATTTGTTTAACCGCTGAATTTTTAAAAAAATATGAGCTTACCACATATGTACCAGGTGATGAAGAAGAATAGGGAATCTGTGAACAAACCAAAGCGCACGCATTACTTTTCCAAAAGGGAGCTTTTGACAAGGGAGGTTCAGAACTCTAATAAAAATATTTATTGCTTTTAAATATGCTTAGAGGAGAGGACAGCTGCACAGAAGGAAATGGAGGATATCCCTTGTCTCCTGCTCCGGATGATGCCCTACTGGGAAGACAGAGCAAGGGATGCAACATAGATGAAAAGGGAGATGCAGGAAGAAGAAATAAACCAAATTCCAAGGTCCAAGTGATAAAGGCATTCCGCAGAAAAAAACACTTACTGAATTAGCGCTGTTGGGGTTGGGCCATGGTCTACCAGCTCCTGGACCCCTGGAGTTCAAGAAAAGAAACAAGCTTTTAGTGCGCGCACGCACATGTTTACTCAAGCCTAAGCAGAGAGTAAAACAGCGCTCATTTCCACATCAAATGAAAGGAACATCAGTCAAAAGCCAGGAACATGAGAAATGCCTTACATGTTAATCCCAGGCATGCCGGGCCCTAGAGAGTTGGGTGGAGGTCTCATTCCGCCGCCATAGTTCTGCAATGATAACCAAGGATCAGTCTACCATAACGAGAAGGGAAACCGGAGAAGAAAAGAGAAAGGAAAAAAACAAACAAAAACGAGAGGGTTAGTTTGTGAAAATGAACTTTAATAAAAAAAAAGAAGATGATGACAATGAACATACAGGTCAACTTAGCAACTTCTAAAAGTGAAACAGGGCTGTGGCAACTCTCATTTTGCTGTTTGACTGGAAAAAGTCTTTTTTCCCCTATTTTTTTTTAATCTTAAAAACCAGCAGGTTTCCATCTCTTTGTAGAAATTATAATACTAGAAACATCCATCAGGCCAAAGCTTCTGGCACTGCCCAAGGTATATCAACAAGGGAATAACCTCACCTGGAAAATATGTAAGATCTAAGAAAGTAATTCAAACCAAAAACAAACAAACCAAATGCAGTTTGTTCCTTACACATGAATCCAAACAAGTAGGAGATGTAAAATAATTAAATTACTTGCTTGGGGTGGGGTGACAGTTGTGGAGAGACTGATGTGAGGAAGCAGAACATGAGAGAGAGGGGAGTGAGAGACAAGACAAAGAGAGAGAGATTAATTCTGCTTTAGGAAATACAGAATAATGAGCAAACAATGGGTTTGCCCAAGAGCAGATGTTGACAGCACCAGAGTGTGTAGCAGGTTTGCAAAGAGCATTCCTTCCTCCCAAAAGCCTGTCTTCAACAACAGTAACAAAGAGCAATGCTGATCAAGTAGCATCCACTGCATACCTTTTATCTTATTTCTTAAAACACCACAATCACGAAAGACATAAAGGACTTTTCTGGCCAAAGTAATAACATTATGGGTTTGTTAATGTGATTACTAAAACCCCTTAAAATTAGAGCACTTAAATCTTAAATGTTAAAGTGGCCCTTTTTAAATTCCCTTCTACATATCCAAATGTCTGCTTAGCCCAATCTTCCAGATATCAATCTTCAGAAAAAGTCAATGCAAGTTAGGCATAACAATTTGCTGTGAAAATGGGTCTAAAGAGGGAAAGGGAGCAAATCCATCATGTTGTTGGTAACATGCAGGGCTATGGTGGTGCAGTGGTTAGAGTGCAGTACTGCAGGCTACTTCTACTGACTGCTGGCTGACTGCAATTTGGCAGTTCAAATCTCACCAGACTCAAGGTTGACTCAGCCTTCCATCTTTCCAAGGTGGGTAAAATGAGGACCCAAATTGTTGGGGGCAATATGCTGNTCTATCTCTATATCTCTATATCTCCATCTCTATATCTATATCATATCTATATAACTAAATCAATATATCTTAATACCAATAATAGTCATACTATTTGTTTAACCAATTTAACACATCTTCCTTGAATCTCTGATCCTTCCATAGATTTCCCTGTTTCTAGCTCCTGTTTTTGTCAGCTAGCCATCGATAAAATAAGTCCCAAGTCAAACAATATTCCATTTCTTTCTTTTCCTTAAATTGTAGGTTTTTTTAATGTAATAGTATTAAAAAATAATACAATAATACACAGGGATTCATTTTAAATAATAGTAATAGCAAGAAGCAGGGATGCGGTGGCTCAGTGGCTAAGATGCTGAGCTTGTCGATCAGAAAGGTCGGCAGTTCAGCGATTCGAATCCCTAGCGCTGCGTAACAGAGTGAGCTCCTGTTACTTGTCCCAGCTTCTGCCAACCTAGCAGTTCAAAAGCACGTAAAAAATGTAAGTAGGAAAATAGAAGCCACCTTTGGTGGGAAGGTAACAGCATTCCATGCGCCTTTGGCATTTAGTCATGCCGGCCCCATGACCACGGAGACATCCTTTGACAGTGCTGGCTCTTCGGCTTTGAAATGGAGATGAGCACCGCCCCCTAGAGATGGGAACGACTAGGACAGATGTGCGAGGGGGAATCTTTACCTTTACCTTTAATAGCAGGAAATGCCAAGTAAGGTTTTATTTACAAGTTCTTTTCCTAGAACAGGGGTTGGCAAACTTAAAAACTCCAAAAGCCATTTGGATCCGTTTCCCACAGAAAAGAAAACACCGGGAGCCACAAAAGTCCTAACCGGAAGCCCCCTGTTCAATTCTGGAGCTGACCAGAAGTTTAGTTCCCCCACCATAGAGTCTCCTCCTAGCATGGCGTACTTTTTCCTCTACTTGTCATAACCGAAAGCTCTATCAATTGTGGAGACAACTGGAAAACCCTCCCCTTGCCATAGAGTCTTCTCCTGGCGCACTGTGCTTCTTTTCCCCCCTCCCCCCCACCGGAAGCTCCTTTCAAAATTGTGGTGCCGACCGGTGACGGAGCCGCAGCAGAGGGAGGAAAGAGCCACATGCGGCTCCAGAGCCGCAGTTTGCTGACCCCTGCCCTAGATCACTTTGGAGGAATGAGTGGGGGTGACTCTCAATATTTCTTATTGGCTGTACATTTTAAACAATCATATGAAATGTGCAAAATCTCACTGCTCCCTTCTAGAAAGGCAGCTTCCTGCAAATAATAATATTTGGGGGAAACATTGCTGTTATGAGTCTCCTGTTGTTGTTTAGTTTCCTGTTACACTGAGCACCAGGAGACATCATGCCGTTAACTTCATTCTCTTTGGGGTTCATCAGACGTGGGCAGCCAGACATAATTCCATCGGGGCTCAAATGGTCTACTGAGAATTGAACATAGGATGCACACTGTGTGTATATCCTATGTGTAAAGAGGGTGAGGGTATGAACCTCATGTAAGGCAGTCTTCCTGAGGCTATCACTTGATGGAACATCCACCTCTTTCTCTTCCCTGAGATTTGAAGGGAAAAGGGACTGTGTAGACCATTGTGCTAGATCAGAGGTGTCAAACTCAATGTACATGGGCCGGATCCGGACCGCAGGATGCTTAGATCTGGCCCACGGGACCACCCTGGAAACAGCAAAGGACCGGCTCATGGTGTCTCTGCCAGAGCTTGGTGCTCAAGCTACATTTTTGCTGGCAGAGGGTTGCAGGAGGCTGTCGCAGGTGAAATCGGGGCCTGGGGAGGGGATGTGCATGCTCTCCCCAGCTCTATTTTCACTGGGAGAGGGCTGGCAAAACAAACTAAAAACTAATGTTTCCCCCTTTTGCATTTGAGCACGCAAGAAAGGGACAGGACCGAAGAAAGGGAAAGAGGACAGACAAAGAAAAAGGATGGGAAGAGAGCAAGGAAGGAAAAATAAGGAAAGAGGGGAAGGAAGAAGGAAGAATGAAGAGGGAAGGGGAAAAAAGAAGGAAGGAAGGAAAGATGATGAGTGAATGAGGGTCTCCTGCCTTAGCACCACAGGTGACCCCGAGACAAGTGACGTCAAGCTGGCCACACCCCCTTGCTCCTCTAATCCCCCCCCCCAGGTCAAACACAACCCTGATGGGGCCCTCAATGAAATCAGGTTTGACACCCCTGTGCTAGATTCCCTAGGAGAGAGCGATTATTGAGCCCTACTGATCGACTGCTCTTAAGGGAGAGCTGAGCTGCTGTGATTTTGGGGTGCTTCCTCATTTCCCTTACCTTCTCCTTGGGTCCCCTGTTCACAACCTTATTCAAGCAAGAGAGGACAGACCAAAGAGACTGTTCATTCTTCTCTTTTTCTTTTTTCCCTTGAAAACAAGGTTTTTATTTTTTATTACAATTTTTAACAAAATGGATTTTTCTTTTACATCCTCTCATATACATAATCCATTTTACATCATCATTCTGCTTCCAATTTCAATCCCATTATTCTCTCTCCATATTTTCCATCTTAAACTTATTTTCTTCTTAATGCATAAACAATAGCACTAATTGCCCCTTCAGAGTTAAACCAAATGATCATTTCATAATTCATCTGTTCTGTTTTACCCCAGTGAAATCATCTAGCTGTTTTTTCATTTTCAGTTCCTTCTTACCCCGCCCCCCCCAATATTTTCTTCTTTTTCTTCAATTGAGCCCTTTTTTACCCTCTTCTCTTCCATTTCCTGGTCTGAGTGCTCCATTCTTCTCTTTTTCTGAGTATTGCTTGTGAAGTTGGAGATGGTGGCAGGGAAGGCCAGAGCTAGGATTCCTCAAAAGAATCCATGGCCTCTTTTTGAGATGTGGTCCTCACGCTACTCATCTGATAGTTGCCTCCCTGCAACCCCACTGTTCCTTGAGATGCGCTAAAAATTCTTCACACTCTTCTACATCTGCTAACTTGTTTGTCCCAGTTTTGTTAGCTTCCTTATTTTTTTTTTCTTCTTCTTTTAATTTTCCATCCAACAGGAGCCTCGTCCATGCCGACGCTGATATGGGCATTGGTGGTGATGTCTCTGCATCCCGAAGCGAGAATGCTCAAAGAATGTGTGAGTCCTGACAGTCAGAAATGCCCCAACCTCTGCGCCTGTAGCTTTGACGACTGCATCGATGACCTGAGCGTCTACTGTAGCTCACGGAACCTCACCGCCTTGCCGGAAGACGTGCCCCGAAGCACAAGGATGCTGTGGCTGGATGGGAACAACTTCACAACCTTGCAAGCGCTTGCTTTCAGGAACCTCTCCATCCTGGAATTCCTTAACCTTCAGGGCAGTCAATTATCGGGGATTGAACAACATGCCTTCCATGGTTTGGAAGGGCTGTACTCTTTGCTCCTGGAACGTAATCGGCTGAAGTCGCTAGCACCCAATATCTTCCTCCACCTTCAGAACCTGGCCTCCTTACGTCTCAACAACAACCAGTTCAACAAGATCGAAGAAGGGGTGTTTGCTGGGCTTTCCAACCTCTGGTACTTGAACCTGGGGTGGAATTCCCTGGTGGTCTTGCCAGACAAAGTCTTCCATGACCTGCCCAATTTAAGGGAGATGGTTCTGGCTGGGAACAAGCTGACCTATCTCCAACACCAGTTGTTCTACAGCCTCAGCGAGTTGCGAGAACTGGACCTGAGCTGGAATTCCCTCAAGGGCATCAAAGGGAACATCTTCACGAAGCTTCAGAAGCTGCTGAAGCTTTACCTGAACCACAACCAAATCAACGCCATTGCTCCGCGGGCTTTTGTGGGCATGAAATCTCTGAGATGGTTGGATCTCTCCCACAACCGTCTCGCCATGCTTTTCGAAGACACGTTCGTGGGTCTTTCGAGCCTTCACGTCTTGCGCCTCTCCAGCAACGCCATCACCAGTTTAAGCCCTAGGACTTTCAAAGACCTGCAGTTCCTGGAAGAATTGCAGCTAGGCAGCAATAAGATTCGCACCTTGCTCGAAAAGAGCTTCGATAAATTGGGCCAGCTGGAAGTCCTTACTCTAAACGACAACCAGATCCAGGAGATCAGGCCGGGGGCTTTCCTCGGACTTTCCAATGTCGCGGTGATGAATCTATCCGGGAATTGTCTTGCCACTTTTCCCGATTTCACTTTCAGGGGTCTTAGCCAACTCCACAGCCTCCACCTGGAAAACTGTTGCCTCTCCAGGATCAGACCGCGCATGTTTTCGGATCTCTCCAGCCTGCGAAGACTCTTCCTACAATCCAACGCCATCTCGGTCATCGAAGATCACAGCTTGAACGATTTGCACGAGCTCATTGATCTAGATCTCAAGCACAACCGCCTGAGGAGCCTCTCCCCAAATCAGTTTGCCGGCCTCCGGAACCTGGAGTACCTCCTTCTTTCCTCCAATCGGCTGGTGGAGGTCTTTCCTGAAGCCTTCGCCCCGTTGTTGCGTCTCTCCTGGCTTGATCTCTCCAACAACTTCTTGGAGACGTTGGACAACTCGAGCAGACCTCTGTCGGACTCTTCATAGACTGTCTGTGAATCATTAGGGGCTGTGAATGACCATAAATTCTTTGCACCCTTCTCGAAGCTGACCTACCTGAACATCAGGAACAACTCTCTGAGAACCTTCTCGATGGATTGGCTTGGCCCCTCACCTATCCTGGTTCAGCTGTGGCTAGAAGGGAACAAATGGGCGTGCAATTGCTCGCTCAAGGGCCTCCGAGACTTTGCTCTGCAGCAGCCCGGAGTGGTTCTGAGGTACACGCAGTCCATCACGGAAGGAGAAGCACCTGAATACACCTACAACAATATCACTTGCCTTAGCCCAGCGGAAGTAGTAGGACTTGATCTACGGGATATTCAAGAAGACCATTTTGTTGACTGTTAGGGGTTTGATCATCTTGCTTTCCAAGTGTTCTGTCCTAGGCCTCCTGAGAAGGCATAAATCACAATCTTAATCCCCCAAACCCTCTTTTATTTAAACGGCTGTGAATTATGGTCATTCACAGCCCCTAATGATTCACAGACAGTCTATGAAGAGTCCGACAGAGGTCTGCTCGAGTTGCCACAGTCTTTCAGGGGAATGTTGATAAGCACCCACCTTTATCTCCCTTGAAACGCTGCCAGAGACCTAATTGCTAATTAGTTTTGCAAGGCCGAACGCTGCACAGTCTCAAACAGGACTTTTCAGAGCTTGAACCGACTGGATGAACTAATTGCTTCCTGCAAAGGCTCACGTCTGTTTGCTCCTCTTTTGCGTCTTATGGGAGGGGCCAATCATCTCCAAGCCTTACTCCCGAGTCATCCCTTTTGTCTTAACTATGCGCACACTGGGCACAGGCTCCCACTGTTCTTCTGCCTCGCTGATGTCAGACTC